TCAAACCCAGTGAAGCTGAAAATAAGTCCAAGATTCACTTGATAAAGAAAAATAAAGTGTGTTTGCTATCAGCCTGTTGGCCTTCCCCTGCTTCCCCAAAGGACCCCAGGCTTACCTCAGACCGCAGTCCCCAGTCACTGGTGTTCAGAGGCAAGGCGGAGCAGGACACCTAGGTCACACTCAGTGTTGAACTTGTATACCACTCACCTAACCCTTGGAGAGTAAGTAGCTCCTCCCCATTTCCAGGCCAGGCCCCAGGGAAGGTTTAGCCACTGCCTATCGAGTTGCTTGTCAATCAGCTCTCAAGGCAAATGTGCTGGCTACAAATGTCTTAGGGCTGCAACGTCTTCCTGCATGTAGCAGGTTTTCTGTCCTGGTCTCCCCACCGGAGACCATGCTGTCCTTCATATTTACCACTTGGCCTGAGGGTTCCCCTCCTATAAGATTGACAGGAGAGTTCTGGGTGACCCCTAGAATTTAGTGGTGGCTAAGAAGCCTTTTAACTTCAGAGCTAGTTGTGGGGAGGAAACTACAGGTTTTTTTTTTTGTTTTGTTTTGTTTTGTTTTTTTTTAATTTTCTAGCTGGATGGTAAAACTTTATGATGAGTGTAACCGGACTGTAACTGGGGACACGGCTATGTCTGGAAAGTAAATTCTGCAGCTTTTTCCCTCATGACTGGTGATTGCTTCCCAACATCGGATTAAAGACTACTAGATTTGCTGGTTGATGGTGGTGCACGCCTTCGGTCCCAGCACTTGGGAGGCAGAGGCGGGCAGATCTCTGTGAGTTCAAGGCCAGCCTGGTCTACAGAGGAAGTTCCAGGACAGCCTCCAAAGCTATAGAGAAACCCTGTGTGTGTTTGGGGGGGGGCGTGACAAGAGAGAGAAAGAAAGCAAACAGCAATGTTCTCTTGGCTTTCGAAAGAAAGAAAGAAAGAAAGAAAGAAAGAAAGAAAGAAAGAAAGAAAGAAAGAAAGAGGGGAAGGAAGGGAGGGAGGAAGGGAGGGAGGAAGGGAGGGAGGAAGGGAGGGAGGGAGGGACAAACAGGCAATGTTCTCATGTCTTTTTGACTCCACCCGATAGGGACATGACAGTCCTATCCACACATCCTAAGGGGACCAGTCTAAGCCTCCTTTTAAGCTGATTCTCAAGAGATCCCTGTGTTTTGTCATGTTACTCCATAAGCCTTCAAGTTCTAACAGGGCTAGGAAGGGAAGCGCTGGCCCACAGGAGCCCCAATAGACTAGGCTGCGCTACTTTCCCCACAAAGCCCCAGCCTAGTGGCTCACACCTAGCCTGTACTCAAGCCCTCAGGAGGCTGAGGTGACAGGATCCTGAGTTCCAGGTAAGACCCCATCTTACCTCCTCTCCCACCCAAAACAGGACCCACAGAGCCAGAGCATGGCGAGGCTGGGAAAGGAAATTTATTAAATAAGCAGGACTGCCACACGAGGAACAGCAGTGCTTGTGAGAACCTAGCCTCAGCTGCCTGCAGCATTCCTAGGCACACAGTAGAGAAACAAAGAGAAGCCTCAGCCTTCCGGAGGTAGGATTCCAGGCTGTCTTGGTCTGGGTGTCCTCTGGTTGAGTGTTATCTCGGGCTGTTCTCTCAGGATTGGCCACGCAGAGCTTGCTCTGTTGGTGCCAACAGTCAATGTTGTTCCTGAGGGCCCGAGTTGCTTTAAGTAGAAAAAACACAGGAGAACCCATAAGGCAGGAAAAGAAAAAGATGGAGTCACAAGCATAACTCAGGGCTGGTGAGATGGCTCAGCAGGTAAATGCACTTGCTGCCAAGCCTGACCACCCGAGTTCACACGTGGGAATCCACATGGGGAAGGAGAGAACTGATTCCCACAGGATATCCTTTTACCTCCACACATGCATGATAGCACGTGCAGGCTCCCCCCGCCCCCAACACACACACAAAATAAACAAATGTAAGGAAAAAAAACGATGCTGAAGAGAGGCTCAGCAGTTTGTAATGGCACTGGCTACTTTTCCAGAAAACCAGTGTTCAGTTCCCAGCATCCACATGGCAGATCACAACTGTCTGTGACTCCAGTTCTAGGGGATCCAACACCCTCATACAGACACACATGCAGGCAAAACACCAATGCACATAAAATATTTTTTAAAATGTCATTAAAATAGAAAGCAAAACTCTTGGGTGTTGGAGGAGCACGCTTTTAATCCCAGTACTCGGGAGGCAGAGGCAGGTGGATCTCTGTGAGTTTGAGGCCAGCCTGGTCAAAAGAGCGAGTTCCAGGACAACCAGAGCTGTTACACAGAGAAAGAAAAAAGAAAAAAAGTAAAACTCAAAATGTTATTAGCTGGGTTAGTACCTGGGCCTCCTTTAAGCCCTCTGTCATTACTGCGTTTCTGTGGAGCAGGGCCTGCCTAGTTGCTATAATGGACCAGAAGTCTGTCCTCAGTCTCCAGACCTGCTCACTCTCCAGAGGCAGTTACTGACTGCAGCATCAGCCTGCTGTTCCTAGAGCCTGAAATGAGATGGGAAACAATCTACAGCCACGGAAACATGCACTGCCACAATTCCTGAGAAACAGCTTAAAAACACAGAAGAAAGCAGGAAGAATTAACCTAAACAGGGGACTAGAGAGGGTTACAAAAGGAGCAGGACTGCTATTTAAACTTATTTGTGTAGATATCCCCAGGGAGGAGACTCTAGAAGATTGTGAGGAGAGAGAAAGGAGAAATGGGCTTAGAAAGGTGTGTGTGTGTGTTTGGTGGGAGGAGGGGGGAGGAGTCCTTCATGCTTAGAATCACATCCCAAGCACAAAAGGAATGTGCTGAAAGATTCAAAACAATGGAGTACCACCGCTTATCTGGGAAGATGCCTGGGGAGGGTAAGCGAGAGTAAAAAGTGAACAGATTGAAGAAGTGACAGCATTCGAGGGATGGCTACTCATTCGGTGGTAGTAGGAGGTACCACGGTAGACTCTTGGATCCAGCACCTGTGTGGATAGCACCTCAGCTCATGTCGCAGGTTGACGGCTCATGACGGGGGAGCTGGAGGTGTCACCTCCTAAGAAGAGAAAAATGAAAGGAAAGGTTAATTGAACAGGGATGGGTTTGGGGGCGTCAAGAGTTTGGAGAGGAAGTAGGGTGGGGCTGCGTGGTATTTGCACATGCTCTTAAGAGTGGAGCCTAGGGCCCCACGTGTGCACTCTGAGCTTCATTCCCAATCCAAATGTGGAGTTGTCTTAATTTTGATAAGTTGAGAGATATGAAATAAAATCTCAAGCTGGTGGGTGATTGGCCAGCCCACAGCAGCTGGGTTGGTAAGCACACTGTTGGAGTTTAAAGCCAGGGAAAGTATGTGCTGTCTTTTGAGCCTGAAGTCACCGAGCCCGTGATTGAGTCAGGTGTTAAGCTGAAAGACAGCAGAGAGCAGACCTTAGCAATAGCTGCAAAGTCAGGAGAATTCGGGTCAGGGAGGCTCAGGCCGGGTGATAGGGTAGAAGCTGGAATAGTGTTTGTGAAGACAGTGTGCCTTAAGAGCAGGCAGTGTCCTCCGGGGCTCCAAGCTACCGACCACAGTGCAGCATGCTACTGGAAGAAGAGAGGCTTGCAAGGTCTGGCAGGGAGCTGGCCTTTCTTCTTAGGTTTTCATCCCAAGCATCTCCCCATTTAGTCATCATTCTTCTTCCCACGACTGTATTTCTAGAACACTCTGCACTTGCCTGTGACTGTTTTCTCCTGGTGTGGGATGATTCCCAAATGCATTCTGACTGTTCCTCTGGCCTGTTGCCTTTCATACCGGCAGTGCTGCTATTTCACAACTGAGGCACGTGTGCCCTCTGTTGGTCTGTTTTGAAACTGCGTCCAATCATTCTTGGGGGCAAACCCCTCTCAGGGTCTGAGCAGTTTTGCAGTCAGCACTCCAGATCCCTGGGTTCTATTCTGAGGTGGGGGTGGGGCAACAGAGGGACAATGAGGTCAGTATGCTAAACACTGGAATGTTAGGAGAGCTGCTACAGGGCAGGACACTTTGCAGGTTATAGGAAGGACTTCAGCTTGTGGCCACACAGCATCTGGTTCTCTGCAGATGGCTCTGGACAGAGTCTGGAGTAATAGGTTCCATGTTAACGTGGTTCTGCTGCTATGGAAAAGTGAGGTCGGTCAGCCAGCGAGACAGCCCTGCTTGCACTACACATAAGATGGTTTTATGGTTCAGGCTGCAGCATCTGAGAGGACTGTGGGCTTTGAGAACAGGCCATGGTCATCTGGGATGTAGAAGGGCAGGGGGCTGGGGACATGTTGGCTATGGGTTCTTGATGGACACGGCACTGGGGAGCTCAGAGGGAACACATCATATGGATTAAGACTTACCTATGGTCGAGCTGGAGAGAGAGAGTTGGGGATTATCATCACCTGATGGTATTTAAACTCAGCATGAGACACTGTAGATGAAAAAGACCAGGAATTCAGGAGCTGGTCCTGTCACGCTGCACAAGGTCTGGAAGAGAGGATGGCAAGGTCGGAAAGGTATAGTAATAACTGGAGCCGGGCCCAGTGGCACCAGCCTGTGATCCAGCAGCTACTGGGAGGCTACGGAAGGGCCGGCCCACAGACAGACTGCAGCTTAGGAAGACCCTGCCTGTTGTGTTCTATTGAAGTTTTTAGAAGGAGGCATTGGGGACAAGATGAGTGATAGTGTGCTGGCTAGCAGGCTCTGGGTTCAGTCCCCAGTTCACAAAAGAATAAAGAAGGGGGTGGGGAGGGGCGATCATAGGGAATCAAATGAAGGAAATAGCTTATCCTCCAGCCCAGCATGGAGGCGCACACTGGAAGCCCCACCCTGGGGAGGCTGCACTGGGGAAAGAGGGAAAAGAGAAAGGGGCATGAGGGGAAAAGAGAGAAAAGGAAGAATCCATTCTGTCAAGTGCTATGCGTAAGTTGAATGAGGATTAAAAGGCAACCGTGGTCTCTCCAGCATCCATGCAACTTATCGTAAAATACCTTGTCATCCCCTCCCCCAGGTTGTGGCAGACACCAATATAAGTGCCATAGCGACGCAGCTTGAAATCATGTCTGCAGGCTCCCAGCTTGGCTCTCCGACTGCTGACCGTCATCCGGAAGACATGGAGTGAGTATTCTAGCGTAGTGTTGGCCTAGTCCCTGAGCATCGGGTTCTAATGTGTGTGATCCCAAAGTAGAGGAATGTGCATGCTGTCTTCTCCTGTCCTACACTGGGTCTGACAAGGTGCCAGGGCTGCTCTCTGTTTCACACAAGGCTATGTTCCACCCTAGGATCCTTCAGAGACCATGGTAGGGCATGCGCTCACACTGCCTCTCATTGCCTTGGCACAAGCCTGTGCCTTCTGTCCTAAGAAACTGCAGGCTTATAGCCCAGGTCCACCCTGCTCTAAGATGCAAGGAGTCACATTTCCTTAACTCACTAAGCTAAGGTGAAATCTTGCTGTCCCCTTTGCTGGCATGTGTCATTACAGCTAGTCATTGCAAATTGTTCATTAAAGCAATGTTTCCATAACTAAAATGATATGAGAATAAGAGCAGGAGGCCAGCAAGATGGCTCAGCATGTAAAGGCACTTGCCACTAAGTCTGATGACCTGAGTTCAATCCCTGGGTCCCACATCATAGAAGGAGAAAACCTCAAAATCTCAAAAGCTAATCCCCTCGGAACTCCATTTGCCTGCGTGTGTGCCTGCACACACACTCCAAGACACTATCCGTGGAGACTCTGAGGAGAAGGTCCCCAGTGGATTCGGGCATCTGGTCTTAGCAGGCTCCCTGGGGTTATTGGACCAGACAGGCAGCGAACAGCTGTGCTTTGAGCACTGCTGCCTGAAGCTGTCCATCACTGTACTGTCAGCACCTGGCCAGGGTGTGTGTTCAGTAAACACTGTTGGTGGATAGATAGTTCATCTAAGGAGCTCATGATCACAGCCATCCACAAGGGGCTTTATTGACCTAAATATTTTTGGGCGTATCTCGTAAAGAAAGAATATTAAGTTGGTTCTACTTTTTTCCTCATGACACATGCCATCAAATATGACAAAATGGAAAAATAAGCATTTTCAAGGTACAGAGTCAAGGTGGAGAGGTGAGTGCTGGAGCTCAGCTGGCAGAGTACTTTCCTAGCGTTTACAACGCCCTGGGTTCATCCTCAGTACCACATGAAACTGAACATGGCAACCCACACTTATAATCCCAATACTCAAGAGGTAGGGCAGAAGGACCAAAAATCCAAACCCATTTTGTATATATAGCAAGCTTAAGATAAGCCTGGGGTACATGACATCCATCTCTCAAAAGGAAAGGAAAATCAGCTGGCTCCAGTGGCTCCTACGTGCAGTCCCAGCACTCGCCTGATGTAGGAGCTCTGCAAGGCAAAGGCCACCCTGAACTGCGTGATGAAAACAATAAGAGTGGTGCTGCCCTTGTCATCTGGTCCTTTGCTCCAGCCCCACAGCTGTGGCAGGGGGCTGTCAGCACAAACAAATCCACAGCTGACATCTGAGTGTCTTTAAAAACTAGGCTCTGCCCAGCGCACTGGGCATGCCTTTAACCCCAGCAATGGGGAAGCAGAGGAAGCACTCTGTGAGTTCAAGGCCAGCCTGGTCTACATAATGAGTTCCCAGACAGTCAGAACTACATAATAGAGAAACCCCTGGCATTAAGAAAGAAAGAGGGCCAGGGGGTGGTGGCGCACGCCTTTAATCCCCGCACTTGAGAGGCAGAGGCAGGTAGATCTCTGTGAGCTCAAGGGCAGCCTGGTCTACAGAGTGAATTCCAGAACAGCTCTCAGAAGCTCTGTCTCAAAATAGAGAGAGAGAGAGAGAGACAGAGACAGAGACAGAGACAGAGAGAGAAGAAGGGAGAGAGGGAGGGACAGAGAAAAGACAATAACTAAATGTTAAGGCATGGCTTGAGAAGGTACCCTTGGAGGTCAAGAGCACATACTGTTCTTCAAGAGGACCTGAGTTCAGCTCCCAGCACCCATGCCAGGCAGTTTGTAGCCACCTGTAACTCCAGTTCCAGAGGATACAGCACCTCTGCATTCTCTCTCTCTCTCTCTCTCTCTCTCTCTCTCTCTCTCTCTCTCTCTCTCTCTCTCTCTCACTCATACACACACACTTATTTAAAAAAAAAAACAAAACAAGAAAAGTAACCTTCAAAGAAGAAATATTAAGATACTATGAGATAAATGGAAATGATCCATGATCCAGATGACACATGCTCCAGGTTTCCAGCGAGCCCAGATATGCAGGTCCCAGGACTTGGTGGCTCCGAGACTAGTTCTAACACGATAATCTTGAGTACCTTATTTCTCTCCCAGTGTCCTTGGCAATGGGGTTCATGTCTACGAAAGCAGCCAGAATCAGGCTAGGTACCACTGCTAGGTCCTTGGTGAGCATGCTCATGAGGCGGCAGAGAGAGAAGGGCCTAGCTAGCCTTACTTGTGATGTCATCCACAGATGTTTATTGAGCACCTCTCTAAGGCTAGGCACTGCACTGAGTTCTGAGGATTTAAACACAGGAGTGTCTGTAAAGATGTGGCCCTACCTACCCTTAAAGGGAAAGTAGACCTATAAATCCATGGCTGTAGAAGGGCTAGTAAAGGAAATTAAGTTCAGGGAGCTCAGGACTCTTGAAGCCATTGCCACAGGGCCTGACGGGGGTAGGGTGGTGGGGTGGGGGTAGGGGGTGTTGAGGGCAGTAATTGGAGAAGCTAATGGTGAGTTTTGAAAGAATCAGGCTAAGCGGGATAGCATTCAAAACCATCCACAATTTGTATACAATATTATACACAGTCTGTACTATAGCAGTGGACAACTGCTGTAAAAAAAAATATATCATCAAGCAGTGACTATTAGCATCAACCAGATGGAAACCAACCCAAAAACATGTTAGGTCAAGTTTCAGGGAAGGTTTAATCAGGACAGCATGATCAAAGGTCACATACCCCTTCACAATTTTCTGATACTTCAGTGGCTGAGTTCATAACAGGTGACTCCGCCTCTCAGACATGCATGCTGCCACAAAACAAAGTATGTTGCCTGAACAGAGTGTGTACCTCCTTGAGCCAGACAGATATGGTGATATACACTTAACAATCCTAGCACTTGAGAAGCAGCAGCAAGAGGATCACTGTGAGTTCAAGGCCTGCCAGGGCTATGCAGCACAGCTTTGTTTCAAAAGGAAAAGAAAGAGACCCTCCCACCACAAATCAGATGGTAGGGATGGGGACCCCAGAATCCCTTTGGCTTTTTACCCTTTGGATAGTATAATATGGGGAGAAAGGCTGAGGTGTAGCTCGGTACAGCACTTTCCTAGCCTGCTCGAAGCCTTTGGTGTGATTCCCAGTACCACATAAAACGAAGCCTGGTATGTCAAGCCCCTAATCCCAGCTGGATCAGAAAATTCAAGGTCACCCTTGGCTACATTGCCAGTTCGAGGCCAGCACTAGCTACATGAGACCTATGTCAAAAGACAACTAGTATTTAGGAATAAGAAACTGGTCTTGGGTAAGCTGAGATTAGATGGCTTGAGCACACATGTATGAATTGAATTTTAGTAATGTTGTCTGAGAGAGAAGACTTTCACACAGACGGAAATCTCAGTCATATATTTGGAACAGATTGTCTTTATCCATTGTGCTTCATACCAGTGACTCACTTCTGTCCTCTTGGATTTTAGTTCCTGTTTAAACAGCTACGATCCTGAGTTTGCTGGGAGCACAACGGTGGCTAAGACCGAAGGAACATAGCTAGGGAGAGGGAAAGATGGGCAATCACAACAGTACGGAATCAGGACCAAGGACAGAAAGACTGGGCCCATCCTCCTGAAGGGTGCAGGAGGACACCCTACTAGAGGGCGGCTTGGAGGAGTGCCAGGGGCACTTGGACAGAAAGGGGCATCATTCGCAAGCATTAGCCTGTCACTACTGGTTAGGGGTTCACCTGGGGACTGCAGGCGTCCATCATGCTGGCACGACCTCTGTATTGCTGGCTGTGCAGTCCACACCTCTCTATCTCTCTTTGAACAAAATAGGTAAGATTTTAAACCATAGGATAGTTCTCGACTTTTTACTAAGATAAGGTTAAAAGCTTCTGTGGGTGTGATGGTGGCTCATGCCTGTGATCCCAACTCTCAGGAGACTGAGGAAAAAATACTGATTGCTGTGAGTTCAAAGCTGGTCTAGGCTACAGAGTGAGTTCCAGGTCAACCTGAACTACAGTTCAAAGCACACTTCAAAATGGGGAGAGGGGGTTTGGCGAGATGGCTCAATGGGTAAAGGCACAGGCTGCCAAGACTGATGACCTGAGTTCAGTCCCTGGGACCCACGTGGTAGAAGACAGAAGTAAGCCCTAAAAGTTGTCCTCTGACTTTGGTGTGTACACAAGCACATTAAAGTACATATATTATATATAACACATTAAAAATTAGGTCAAGCAGCCAGGCAGTGGCACATGCCTTTAATCCCAGCACTTGGGAGACAGAGGCAGGTAGCTCTGTGAGTTCAAGGACAGCCTGGTCTTCAGAGCAAGTTCCAGGACAGCCAAGGCTACACAGAGAAACCCTGTCTTGAAAAACAAAAAATAAATTGGGCCAAGCCTTGTTGTACATGCTTAGAATTCTCGCTGCTCAGGAGGCTGAGGTGGGAGCATCATGACCTCGAGGCCAGCCTGAGCTATATGGTGACCCTCCATAATTTACCAAACCCTTTTCTATAAAATAAAACAAAATAAAATAAAAATGGGCTAGGGGGGTAGCTTCTAGGAGCCTAGAAGGCACAAGGCTGTTGGTACTATCCCCAGTACCACACCACACACACACACACACACACACACACACACACACACACACAGAGAGAGAGAGAGAGAGAGAGAGAGAGAGAGAGAGAGAGAGAAGAGGCCAGCCTAGGCTACACAACAAGATCCCATCTAAATAAAACAAAGCAAATGAATTACGAACTAAGCACAGAGGTGGGTATAATAGCTGATGCCAAAAACCTCGGAACTTAGGAGGCAAAAGCAAGAGGCTGAGATGTTGAAGACCAATTGAAGACCAAGAAAGGAGGAGGGGGGAGCCAAGCAGAGGGGAAAGTGAGTTGCCACTGC